TTCAGTTCATCCTTTCGTGTCTGCGAGTCATGCATTTGGGTCCTACATCCTGCCTGCCACACAGCGTAACATGACATGAGCATAATGACCATCTTGTGTTAACTGTCATTTACTGTCAGTTATTTGATGGCACATTTCACAGAATACAAGTTGACACCCAATCACATCATTTGGTTGTCATTAAAAAACATTTAAGACGTGAATCTGATGACAGATTCACATCTTAAATCAGGACAGGATCCATCAGCTGCAAGTAGTTATCAGTATAAGTACTTGGTATCAGAATCCAGAATCCAGCGACAGAGGTAAGGCCTGCTGTTGATTCAGGAAACACGCCCTCATTTATTGGTGATAGTCACAGTTAACACAGGCAGCTTCCTGCGCAATTTCACGTAACAGCTTGATGCTTGTGTTTAGACTCAGAGTTTCTTACATGGTTTAAAATTAACAGACAGGATGTAAATAAAAGGTCCCATGTAATCAGAGTAAAAGCACAAGTTCAGCAAATCTATTAGAACGGATCAAGGTGGCAATATAAAGTTAAAAACCGGCACATTAGGATAAAAGTGACTGAAACGTGTATTTACCTGAACTCATGAGTAAACATGTTACTCCCAGAACTGAAAATCAGAAAAGAAAAAAATATTATTATTGAGTTTTAATGATTTAAAATCCAACCTAAAAGTTGTTACAAGTAACTTGTAAATAATTAACAACCCATTAATTATTTACTTTTATAAAGGAAGATTAGAAAGCACCTCATCTCAAGTACCTCTTAAAGATAAAAAGCTTAAGAAGAGTGACACTTAATCTTTCCCTCTGACTTTATGAAAAGCTCTTATATTTAAATAATCAGTCTGTTGTACTCACGGAACGTCCTGCTGAGTCCAGAGAGCATGACGTTAGTGAAGAGCTGAGCAGATAAAACAGGGAACCTGTGTATTTCTACTGCTTGGCTAAGAAATATTATGTGCATGCAAGACAAAAACACAATGCAAAAATGAAAATATTTGCTTTATCAAACGTCACAAATATTTTTTAAAAAAGTAATAATTGAAAGATTACATGTAACCATACTAAAATATGAACCATAAAAAACAAAAACTATAAAAACATGAAGGAAAAGGAATAATCTAAGGTGCTTGGAAAGAAAAGCGACTGGATTTGTTTGAGTCGAGAAAAAACTCGTCGTTTTTCTTTCCAAGTTCCTTAGATTTCTGTGGCTTAGATGACTGAAAACTAACACTGGCAAAAACATATAGGTCGCTGTTA